ATATATATATATATATATATATATATATATATATATATATATATATGGCCATATTCCTACCTAACAACTCCTCTTTAACTCAGTATACCCATAAACCAAGAACTGTTTTGTCGTTAAGAAGTCACAACAAATACACGCATCCTTTTCTATAACACAACATACAACTTTAGATACCACCAATTTAGAAATATAAACCGTGTTATTGTTTTGATGCTAGGTATAGAAGCAAACCACCAAGACATATTCTTTATTCACGTTCACAAGGTAAATACAACTGATCCTGAGTCTGAATGTGTCTCATTATCAGGCGGCTCTGAACAAACTCTCTACCAGAGGAATGAAAAGTTTGACCAGAAGATTTCCCTCTACAACGGTGACATCACCAAGCTGGAGGTGGATGCTATTGTCAATGCAGGTATGTGTGTGGGTGTGAATGAGTTGAGTGTTTTTGTTTTAGTTGGACCAGTGTGTAGATTAGTCATTCAACATGGTCACATGATCACACATGATCAAGTCAAATGAAAACCCAGATAAAGCATTTTATTTCCTTTTATTTTGTAACGAGTAAAATGTGAAGTAGAAAGCCAACCAGTGAGGAAATATGATGAAGGGTTACGGATTAAAAAAAGTTGGTGCTAAAGTGAATACAGCGCCCAGGCTGCTGTATCGATGTGAATGTACTGTACATCAATTTAGCACAAAACTAGTGTGAGGGTGGTTTGTGCTCATTATGCCTCTGATGTTTTCTCAGTGTGTGGGAGGGACAGCTACAGGCTTTTACATGGTTACCAACAGGTTTGCATGGTGCAGTTTTCCTTTAAAGTAGCGAGTACACAAGAATACAAGAACACTAAAAGGGTTTAGAGTCGGAAGGATTTGCTGACTGGCTCCCCTGGAAACTTCAAAAGTAGGCAAAGCTACCTGAAAGCAGAGGTGGCTTTAATGTGAATCCTCAGTACTGAACAGATTATGGATAAACTGCTTTGAAAAGGAACTGTGTGAAATAACCAGAAGTGATTTTTAAAGGCCAAGAGAAACTCCTTGGTCAAATCAGCTGTCGGTGAATACAGCTAACCATAGTTTTATTTGGGTACCACACCAGGAGTGGTTTACAATACTCATTGTATTAAGAGACATTTGTTTACACACACCTGTTATTACAACCAATCATTTTTAACGAGGAGAATTGTCTTTTTTTAAATGGTCTTCTGCAGAAAAATCAATGCTTATGAGGAAAACGCATCTATTAATACTGAAATGTAATTATTCAGGCTTTCCATAGAGAAACCTTTGTGCTATCGGCCAGTTATACAATTACAAAAGCTGATACCAAGTTAATTATATCAGTATGTATACTGCATTAGTCTAACCTAATACATTTTGATTAAATGAGTCATATCATCACATTTTGTAAGGACACTTATACTATCTGGTCACATAACACACTTCCTCCCACCAGTTGTTTTCCAGTGCTTACCACTGGGTTTAGAGCGTTTTGACCATTAGATGGAGCCAAAAGCCAGTTTATTCACTGAAGACCTTTTCCCACAAGGCTGTTTGTGCATTTGGGGGAAATTGAATCGGCGTGTTGGCACAGACGGTGCATCGGTGGAGAGTGAGGCAGGCCTAAACGATGCTTGATGATTAGGCTTTAGCAGAAAATGATAGATCTTCATTGTCAGCTGACTGTCAGCAGGTGTACGCTGTGCCAGCATCCAGTGAATATGTTGACGTTTCACTCTCATTTGTGGCATCACTGCGTGTGTGTGTGTGTGTTTGCAAGCATTCATGCATTTGCCTGTGAATTTTAAAGTCATTATGTGTGTGTACACAGTAAGTAATTGTAATTTGTCTCGTGTGTGTCTGTAGAGGCGACTTTGTGTGCCGTAGTGTGTTTTACAAGAGCTTTTTACAGAGTGGCACGATGCAAAGTAGCATGGAATTAACTAGAGGAAACGGCCAGTAAAGTGTGATTTAGCAGAGAGGACGAGGGAAGGTGAGGGAGGGAGGCTGAAACAACAACACAACGGCAGATGAGACACGAGACGGAGCGTGACAGACACTCAGCGCACCGACTCACAAAGATCGAGGAGAGAGTCTGGAGGAGTGAAAAGAAGAAGATAAAAGAGAGGCAGGGAGAGGACACGGGCTAGTATTTAAATCTCAGACTGCATTGCCATGGCAACAAGCAGGTACAGGGTACCCACGAAGGGGTTTTCGGTCAGCAGAGTTCGATCATCCTTCTCTGTGTGACTGACCTGCTGCCCGGCTGACTGTCTCCATAGTCACTTCGTCGACTAAGCGCCTGACCTTTTCAGTCGATGACTAACTGGGTGAGTAAGAGGCCTTCAGCGATGTCGGTCGCACTTAAAAAGATACGACATTAAAATTAAAGAGAGAAGCAAACAGACATCGACAATTATGAGAAGAGACGGTTAGTTATGCTCATTTAAAAAAAAAAAAATTGCTTGCAAGCTTATCCTCCTGTTGCAGATCTAACGACAAAGCATGAGCAGCCAAATCAGCGCCTGTGGTTTTCGACATGTGGAGGGGAGTGTTGTGGATTCTTTTCTGGCTGCTATGAGAGGCCTTGAAGAATAATTTAGCTCATAACGCAGCAGACATTCAATTTAATCCAACTGCGGCCAATTATACGCTATACTGGCAGACGGGTAGGCATGGATCCACACCTACACCTAATATAGATGTGGATACATGCAGATACAGACACAGAAGCACTGGAGACCTGTGATTGAACAGGTGGAAACCAAGTAAATTGCTGCTCCACCCTGTTCCCTACTTCCTTCCTTCCTTCCATCAACACTGACTGATCAGGTAAGGAGGCCGTTGCAGGAAGGCTGGGCAGCCGCTGTTTGTCGTTTGTGTCGCTCTCAATAAAGATCGGATTTACAGTAACTCTCCACTCCTCCCCCTTCTTCTCCTCCCCTTCCTACGCCCCCCCCGTCCCTCCCTCCCTCCTTCCTTCCACACTTTTACAGCCCCTGGCTCCTGCCCACTCCTATAAAACACTACAAACATAAAAACCCACAAGCACTTAAGAGCCGTCCTGGTGAGGAGGGTGGGGGGGGGGCATTGGGGGGAGGAGACGGCAGATAGAAACATTCTCCTCTTTACACCCCTCAATCACTCCGTCCGGAGAAGGAGAGATAGATGGAGGGGAGGATATATTGTCTCTGATGGGCTAGCTGATTAAGATGGATTGCACAATGAAATGTCTTTGGAGTGATGAGTTCTTGGTGTGTGTGTGTGTGTGTGTGTGTGTGTGTGTGTGTGTGTGTGTGTG